TAGTTTTTTTGTCCTTATTGAATCATTTTGTCAGATTTAAGTCATATTCTTGCAATTCATATATAATCTCAGATGAAGCTAAATAAAATATAGAAAAATGTCAAATTTATAAATATTTAATATGGCCTGAATGTCAGACACACCTTCCGTCCAGAGAAATCGGATCATTGCTCTTTGTTCCTCCTTGGTGCACACTGACATCGAAGGGGGCATGTTTGAACTGTAAAAAAAAAAAAACATAAAAAATCTGGCGCGATCAAACTCAAGCTTCGGTCAGGTGACTACAGTAATACCAACTATAAGCACGCATGAGGAGATATGTTATGGCCAAAGTGTGGATAATTTTTCACACTTACCCTTGGAGATAATATATATATATATATATATATATATATATATATATATATATATTATCATGGGTCCTTACCTATAACTACAGAATGAACTCTTCCTAACACTATGTATACTACGCCTCTCAAGAGAGAGGGTCAAATCAAGCCGAGCTTCTCCGCTTGACGGTCGAACTCCCTACCTCTGAGCAGAGAGGAACCCGGACGAGGCTCCGCCGAAGAGCAGAGTCTCGTTCGGGGAGGTTGACCAACCCGATCCCGTTTATACGGGTTCTACAGGCATTTTGGCCGAGCCTACGGGCTCAGGGAAACCGACGTTAAACTCGGCCTTGTGCCACATGCAACCCTTGTTGGGGGGGGGCTGAATACCGAATCGAGTCGAGCCGATAGTAGTTCCTCCAGACCAGACTGACAGTCATACTGACACCTTCCACATCTTGTATTATTATTTCGTGTAATATACTTTCGTTATTTCTACTCTTGTGTTCGTGTTGTTCTTCCTTGGTCCTAACCTGGACCATAACATATATATGTATATATATATAAAGGGAAGCGGTTATACCAGTTCCAACGAGAGAAAAGTGTGCATATTAAAAAGAGAAGACGGAAATGTTTTTGGTTGTAAAATTATAATATATATATATATATATCCACATACACTACTACCACATCAAATAGCCAGCTTTAAGATAATAACAAATAAACGCATTCTTTTTTATAAATTAAAAATAAAAACAATAGTAATTTTACACAGACCCCACCACACGTATATACATACATGCGAGGAAATATTATTCAGTGGAAAAATAGAAAAATGCTCTGATTTTTGAGAAATTTTCGCTACACTCCCAATCTTTGAATTTCAACATACAAATGCGTATGCATAGACACAACACCCATATACATACATATGTCAAATCCGAAACTGTCCACATATTTTTATATATGTATGAGTCCCGACGAACAAGCAAGTGTGTATGTGTGTCTGCGTACCTCATCGGGCTTATGAACATGTATCTATGTTTGCGTTAGCACGATGACATCACGACGATGATTCCCCCCCACTCCCATAATAACACCAATACACGCAATCTACATAAACCCATATTTTTTAAAAAATTAATCAGTTTGTCTGACAATCGCAAAAGCGTGAAACCCAGGGTTACAAACTCACATCAATCAACCATATATATATATATATATATATATATATATATATATATATATACTGATACTTCTCAGGAAGATACCGTAGGGTTTTTTTTTAATTCTAAAATAACTATAACAGAACGCGCTTTTTTTTAAATCGCTATGGCAACAGAATGCAGATTTTATCGCAGTTAGAATAGATTGTTTGTCATTGTAAATTATCTCTGAGGATGATCTTAGAAAAGGTCGAAAGTACTTAGGTTAAAAATAACTGTGGTGCCTTCCTTGATGAATTTCATCTTAAAATCAAGAAACTGATTAGACAACTGGAAAGGATCCGTATAAAAATATATAAATAAGTAGAAACAATACACAATATGTCTACACTATTCAATTGAACATGTTTGAATATATATATATATATATATATATATATATATATATATATATATATATATAGTACAGGTAATCGATCCGTTGGAATATAATCCGGGTGGATCCTATAGCCGCAAACAGGACGACTTTTATCTCTATGTTGAAGTAATTTTTGTTTTTTTGTAATATATATATATATATATATATATATATATATATATATATATATATACACCAATTACTGATTTTCAGTAATAGAATAGTCATTTTGCAACTATTACAGTTAATCATAACTTTATTTATCTTTGATTATATTTTCAAAGACTTTTATCAAACTTGTAGTTGAAAAAAAAACTTTCGTCCTCATCTTAGATCTATACCAGCAAGTACAATGATTAGTTTGTATACTATCTCAGTTGTCTTTTTATCTTTCAGGATGTAATAAAAAACAAGACACACCACCTACCATACCCTCGCCCCGCTCTTATCTAATCTTTTTCACTCTTCCATTCACCTATCCTTTTTTTAACTTATTGGCCTCCAAAAATGTAAAAAAAAAACAAAAGCAAGATTGGTGTAGTATTAGTAAATGCTAAACATTACAAATACTTCGTTGTGTTGATAAATTATAACAAATTTAGTATAGTAGATAGCGAAATTAAACATTGAATGAACTGACCTAGAGGTAGTTTCGCACAAGATCGCAAGTTGTTACTAAACCAAAACACTGGCTTAAAAAATCGGGTCATGATTTTTTTTTTTAAATAAGCCTCATCAGATCGAGACTCTCACACGGACGTCATACATAGCATCCAATCAAATCAGAAATCTTTAAACTGTCTACTGTATTCAACGCTTTCTCAAATCAATAGTTAAAAATAGCTTTATATGATGGCAATTAAGTTGACGTTCCACACGACTTCAAATAAAAGGTGAAACTTCAACTTGAGAATTTATAAATACCAACCTGCAGCAACACTGGATGCTCGGTCAATGAAAGCTGAATGTGTCCTTATACGGAAACGGCTAATATTACCATTACTATTAAAGCTGAGGAGAACAGATACTACACTTTGATCCCAACACGATGGCAGTAGAGTGAAGAAAAACCTAAATGGAGTAGCATTGGCTGCTCGGTCAATGAATGCCGAATGTTTCCTTATAAGGAAACGGCTAATATTCCCATTACTTTTAAAGATGAGGAGAACAGATACTACACTTTGATCCCAACACGATGACAGTTGAGTAAAGAAAAAACTAAGTAGAGTAGCACTGGCTGCTCGGACAATGAATGCCGAATGTTTCCTTATAAGGAAACAGCTAATATTACCATTTCCATTGTCATTTTTTTTGTTCTTCTGCTTCATATCATATGCTCCATTCAGGACGTAGGTGATCATAGCTCTCCATAATTTCCTTCTTTCGTAGTTCTTAATAGATTTTGTCTTTTTATAATATCTCCTAAATCCATTTACTCAAGCTAATTGGTAATTGCGTTGTTTTCCCCCGTTTCTCTTGCCTTCAATCTGTCTTGTGAGTATCAGATTTTCCAAGCACTCTTTCCACCACACTCATCCTCAGATCAAGATATTTTAACTGTGTCTTCCTGATGTTAAATGTAAATTCCATTTTCACTAAAACTTTGCCGGTGCATACATGTTCAGTCTATGGTATTCTCAGCATCCTTCTGTAGAAAAACATTTCTCTTGCTTCAAGTTTGGAGATTGCCCAGCATTCACTGCCATATAAGAGGACAGATATCCCGTAACAGCTCTGCAATCTTTCCTTTGTTTCTAACGAATTTTTTCTGTTTCTTAATACACTGCTTAGCTTTGGGAAAGCATCTTTGGCTATTCTAATGCGTCTACGGATTTTAGCGTTGCACTTTCCGTTCTCTGTTAAAACACTTCCCAGATAGTTAAATTTGTGTACTTGTTTGTTTTTCTACATCCAATTTACGATTTACATAAGCTAAACCCTGAGACGGATATGCAATGTTGTCGGTCCTGCTATGGCATCTCGCCTGCAGTCACTTTCTCACAGACGTCGCCTCCCTCTGTCATTTCTACATATACTTTCACGGTAACTGCTCCGATGAGCTACTTTCGCTGGTTCCCAAACTACATGAATTTAAGCGTGCTACTAGATTGGCATCTCAGTCCCACCCTTTCACTGTTGAAACGGTAACATGTAGCCGTCTCTTCTACTCCAATAGGCTTCATGTCTCGCAGTTCCCGTCTATGAAGAAGAAACTTGAAGCAAGGGAAATGTGGTTCTACAGAAAGATGCCGAACGACGGTTTTGGAGAAAATGGAAGCAAAAATGAAACGTATACTTAACATTAGGAAGAGGCAGTTATAATTTTCTGGGGCATATATTGAGAAAAGAGGGTTGACTATATCAGCATATATATATATATATATATATATATATATATATGTGTGTGTGTGTGTGTGTGTGTGTGTGTGTGTACAGGATATACCTATCGACTTGTTTTGGGAATTAGTCTAAAGTTGGAGATTCGCCTCCAGCTGTGCTGGTCAAATTCTCTGCCTCCGGGCAAAGAGTATCTCCAGACGAGGCTGTGTCGAAGGGCAGAGTCTCATCTCGGGGAAACAGCTACCCGGCCCCGTTTTATACAGGGAATTTTTGATCGAGCCTACGGGTTCGGATACCCCACATTAAATTCGGTTTTGTGCTACATCTAAACGCTTGGAGCGGTTGGCAGATATCCTGAAGTTGGATGTTCATCTCCAGCTGTGCTGGTCAAACTCTCCGCTTCCGGACAGAGAAGATCCCCAGACGAGGCTATGTCTCGTCTCGGGAAACAGCTACCTGATCCCGTTTTATAGTGGTGAATTTTTGGCCGAGCATACACACTCGGATATCCGACATTAAAATTGGCTTTGTGCCACATCTGACCGCGTGGATCGGTTGGTAGATATCCTTGCTTCGGTAATTACTAAACGGCTAACCGATTGTCTGTCTTTCAGTAGTGTATTCTCTTTTATAATAGACCTCTTTTTCTTTCATCTATTGCTGTTCCTTTTACCGGAGTACCACCTTTATCTGTTTGTAACCTTTAAGGATACAACAGTTACTTACCTAACGAGATAACGGGGATTTTGAGCGATGGGATATAGATAAATACTTAGATCTATAAAATTGTGGAGAGGCATTGACAGCCTGCTTTTTATCATAGTAAATTTTATGTTTTTGGGATAGCGAAAGATGCCTTCCAAAAGCTAAGCAGATTATTAAGAAACAGGAAGATTTCGTTAAAAACAACAACAAAAAAAGGAAGAATATTGGACTATCATGTAATATCCGTCCTCTTATATGGCGCTGAACGCTAGAAAATTTTCCTCACAGATGAAGAAGGGACTTGAAGCAACAAAAAAATAGTTCTACAGGAGGATACAGAGAATATCTTAGAATAACGAGAAAGTTTTAAGGAAAATGGATACAAAAGTGTCATTTGTACTTAGAGTCTGAATGAGACAACTGGTCGTGGAAGAATAAGCTGGTATTGTAAGTCGTTTGAGGAATCTGCATGCACTCTTGTAGAAGGTGGTAAAGGAAAGCGAGATAAAAGGACTAATTGTAAGAAGACAAGATGTATCGTTATCAAAAAATTATAAAAAAAGAAACAACCAAAGATGCGATCTACGAATCGTAGACATCGAAATCAAATATATACAAATATTTAAATATCCAGGAAGGAATCCGAAGATGGATTGAAGCAGGAAAGATGCCTTCCAGAAGCTAAACAAAGTATTAAGAAACAAGAAAATATCGCTAGAAACGAAGTACTGGACTGTTATGCAAAAGAAACCAAGAAAATATGACAGTAATGGCGGACAATATCCTCGCAGATGAAGAAGAGTCATGAAGCAACGGAAATAAGATTCGACTGAAGGATTCTGAGAATGCTACGGATCAAACAGATGAGCAACGGTAGGGCTTTAGAGAAAATAGAATACAAAAGGGTTCTTATTCTTAACATAAGGAAAAGACAGTTGATATTTCTTTGGCATATAAAGAGGGCTTGGAAAAATCTGATAATGAAGTCGAAAGGAACAAAAGAAAGCGACACATAACGAGCTTGTGCATATAATTAGCAGGACAGGGATTAGGAGTGATAGCCAAATGACAAACACTGCTAAGAGCTAGGAAAGAAAGGAAGTTGTGGAGAGCCATGACTTCCCACGTCCTGAATAGACACGGCATATAGAAGAAGAAGAAGAAAGGCTTTCCAGTTTGTTACTCGTCGTTTAATGTCCTGAATGGACACGGTACATAGAAGAAGAAGAAGAAGGAGGAGGAGGAGGGGGGAAGAAGAAGAAGAAGTGGAAGGAGGAGGAGGAGGAGAAGAAGAAGAAGGGCTTTCCAGTTTGTTACTCGTCGTTTAATGTCCTGAATGGACACGGTACATAGAAGAAAAAGAAGAAGAAAGAAAGAAGAAGGAAGGAGGAGGAAGAAAAGAAGGGGGTGAAGAAGAAGAAGAAGTGGAAGGAGGAGGAGGAGGGGGGGTGAAGAAGAAGAAGAAGGGGGAGGAGGAGGAGGAAGAAGAAGAAGGGCTTTCCAGTTTGTTACTCGTCGTTTAATGTCCTGAATGGACACGGTACATAGAAGAAAAAGAAGAAGAAGGAGGAGGAGGAGGAGGAGGGAGTGAAGAAGAAGAAGAAGTGGAAGGAAGGAGGAGGAGGAGGAGAAGAAGAAGGGCTTTCCAGTTTGTTACTCGTCGTTTAATGTCCTTAATGGACACGGTACATAGAAGAAGAAGAAGAAGGAGGAGGAGGAGGGCTTTCCAGTTTGTTACTCGTTGTTTAATGTAACAGCTCTGCTGCGATGTCAGCCATATTTTTATTATTTACCACATGGGCTTAATTTCTGTTGGACTTTTTATAGAATTTTCTTTTATTAATATTTGCATATTTTATAAAGCATTTCAGTGAGTGCTGGCTTTTCACAGCCTGTATTGATCCAAAGGTAATTTTTTGTCCCTCTCTCTTTACTGCATGCAAAATTGTGTTAAGTGTTTGTGAAGGTGATTGAGGAGAATTGATGGAATTAGGCGTGGTCTTGCCTGACGAGACCAACACGCAGATTGGCCGAAGAAGAAGAAGAAGAAATGTGAATAGTGAAAAGAGAGTGAAAGACAAGTGAGGAGAAGAGGAAGAAGGAAGTGACGGAAGAAAACGGGGAGAAAAAGTGAAGGAAAAGGAAGAGACAAAAATAATAAATATTTGAAGAGAAACAGAAAAAAAGAGCGGAAAAAAGGAGAAAAAGAAAGTACTAGAATAAAAAGAGGATGAAGAAGTAAGACGGGGAAGAGAAGAAGAGGAGAAGAAGAAAACGAGGAGGGAAAGATAAGGAGTAGTAGTCGGAGAAGAAGGAAGAACAGAAGAAGTGAAGGAAGAGGATGCGATAGAAGAGGAGGAAGTACATAAGGAGAAATGGGAGGTAGAAGCAGGTGGAGGAGAAATACTACAAGAAGAGTAGAGAAAAACAGGAAGACAAAAAAGAAAAGGCAGAGGAGGAGGAGAATAATATTAATAAAAGTAGTAGTAGTAGTAGAAGAAGTAGAGAAGGTGACAAAGAAAAACAAATAGAGTTCAATCATTTGCATTTGAAGCACGATCTTCCTTGACTGACTCAAGCCAACCTGGATTGACCAATCGGATGCGTCGTAACATTTTTTTGATACCATCTTTGTTTAGCTTTAGAAAAGAGTAGCCATGCTGAATTAATAAGGGCTATTAAGTCAGGTAGGCACAATTGGAAATGATAAACGTACCTGTAATTAGGAGCAATTAACCACACAGAGATTTACGAGGAAACCACTTCAGTTTATTAATGAGTTTGAAGAAAAAGAAAAAAAAATGAGAAAAGAGAAGAAAGTATGAATTATTTAAACAGACTCAAGGAAATAGTTCCTGTTTAAAATATGCTCGAACCGATCATTTTTGGAAAGGATTTTTTTATTCGTCTCTCCTCTATCCACCCTCTTTTTCTCTCTGCATATATATTTTTCTCTCCTCAGATTTTTTATTTGTCTTATTTTTTAAATGGCTAAAAACGTGTTGTAATAGAACACTATTGTTTAAAAAGTCGTTCGTTTAAAAATGAAATCTAATGTCACTAGTTCTTCTATGTTGTTTCAGAACGTGGATGATCATGGCTCTTCACAATTTCCTGTCCTTTTTGTGGCTCTTAGTAAGCTCCTAAACCCTGTTCTTGCTAGGTAGGTAGGTATTATTTACCACCGCCTCTTAACAGAAACGTGATGTGACACAGGGTCGGTTTTAATGTGCGGAACCCGAACACGTACGCTCGAGCCAGGGACCCAAATTGTCCAGCCACTGTCAGTTGCGCTGGCATCTGTATGACTACCGATCGTCTCTTTCTAGTGCAACGAGGGGTTTATAGCCGTGGGTAGCTGTTTCCTGGGGGAAAAGCACCTGTCAGTATTTTTTTTTCTTTCTCACCCGTATCTCTATCTGATGATAAAATCTAGTCGCCATATACCAGGTAAGTATAATTTTCTCTCCTTTTGTAGCACTTAGTAAGGTTTGTATTTTTACTGTCTTTCCTAATCCCTGTTCTGCCAACCCTTTACACAAGATCAGTAGGTAGGTTATTCGCTGCTTTTCTCTGACCCACTTGCCTTCAATATACCCTGTAAGTATCAAATTCTCCAAGCCTTTTCTCATTTTTTTTTTTTTTTTTTATTCTGAGTAGAAGTGTTTTCGTTTTTATTTTCCTTTCAGCGAAATAAGTATCCCAAAAGCTAAACAAAATGCTGAGAAACAGAAAAAAAATTCGTTAGAGACAAAACTGTGTTGGATTATTAAAGAATATCGACCACGGACGAGGAGAAAACTTGAGGCAATAGGAATGTTTCTACAAAAGAATATTGAGTATTCCATGGAATGAGCGAATAAGCAATGTGCATGTTTAGGAAAGCCATGATTATACATGTCTTGAAGAACGAGGCATATAATGGCGCCTCCACTACTCCTGATCAAAAAAGCGAATACCGAGAGTGTTATTTAAAATTCAAGAATAAAGCGAAAAATTAGACTTACGCAACGTTTCTTCCCAGAATGAACGTGAGGTAGAAAGATTGTAGTACGTCAAACGTATGGGAAACGTTTTTCTGTAATTAAAAAACCGGCATTCAAAAACTTCAGATTTCGAGAAATATGCAGCTACATACGTTAATAGTTCATTTCTGTTTCTTTAACTTATTTTTGTAAAACTCTTATCGGGAAGCATATTGGTCAAGGACAATATGGCTACCGATAAGGTAGAAGCAACATGTGAGGAATAGGCAGACGGGCGACTTTTACAGCATTTGATTTATTCATTTTGTCCATGTTCATATCTGAGATCACACTTTCACGAGATATGACTTGTGTCACAGATTATTGGTTCATAAACGACAGTCAGTCATGCATGAGACGAGCCCCCGCCTATGGCAAGCAAAAACATCGAACGAGGCGTCTCAATTCAGATTATTAATCAGCATGAATAAAAAAAGACGAAAATAGTGTAAAAAAAAAAAAAAATGCAACAAAAACGAATACGTCACAAATATATACATCAATGACAGCTAATGTCATTAAAAAAAGGAGAAAGAAAGGAAAAATAGGAATTAAAAATAATATCACCATTCAGTGTCCGGCATTTGCTAATAATAAAAGTTGTGACGTAGAAGAAAAATAAATAAATCAGGAAGCCATATTGAAAAGTGTTATGCTAAAATCATGGAATGGCAAAATGAAACGAAGAAAAACGCAACTATCCGTTACTGATAAACACGGTTTCATGAATCAGGTTCTTAATTGAAGACAGTAACAAATCCAGTAACCAATATAGCTTCGACTTTTTTTATTTATTTTCTCCTTTTCTCAAACTTTAAAAAATGTATGGGATTTTTATTTTAAAAAAAAAATTGTAGATAACAGCAAAAAATAGTTCCGTAATCATTCCAAAATTAATTCCGATATAGATATTTTTTTAATCATTTCACCCCAAGCAAGGCGGGAATGCCACTAGTGCGCAGGAGGTTACAAAGAGTGAAAGTGAGAGAAAAGACTGGGTGTAGGTGGGGATTGAGGAAAGGATAAAAGATGAACGGGATTCAAGAAGATAGAAAATAGCGATTGACATTGCATTTAAATTTTTGTAGTTTTCAGGGTACCAAGTAAACAGAAGTACGAGTAAAGAAATTGTTGGAGTAGCTCAAGATGAAGATTAAAACTGATAGAAAAAGGCTTGCATTCGACAGTCTTCGGCGAAAGGTGGGTGAAAGAGGCGAGCTTGGTTCGTTTAGCTTTGATTTTTCTCTTTTAGGTCAACCTACATCACATCGAGGTAGTTTCCTGTGGAGCCCTCCCCTTGGTTAGGTTAATGTGAGTAAGTGTTGTTCCTGGCCTCGTTCCCGGCTTCCTCTTTGGTTATGATTCAAGTCGAGATTCCCAATCTCCCCAGTTTGTTTTGGCTCCCCTTTTTTTTCATGTCGACTGAGTCAGCTTTATATTTTCTAATGCCCGGATTATTTTTTATACTTTTCCCACTCCCATAGTGAGAGAGCTTCTTGATTTTGTCCAATGGGCAGAATACAGTGGCCTCTCCTTTTTGAGGGTTGGACGGGCCCTACTAACATCAGTTATGTTGAGTTTTAGTTTATTATTGGGTTCATCTCCTTCCCCTCTCATTCTTCATTATATATATATATATATATATATATATATATATATATATATATATATATATATAATGGATATATATATTGGATTGATATAATCACAGAGCCGAGTTCGAATTCTTGGATTGTCAAATGCAGAGCCATTACATTCATTACTTCTTTACGTGGTAATACCCTTGGGAAAGGTATGACTCCTCTTCCTCTCCCTCCAGCTATGGGTAAAATAGCAAGACAGACTGGGTTCTATAGCCTTGGATGGCAACTGGTCTAGGAGAAGGACAACTCTGAATTCAAAACCTGCGGAGGGTCGTTTGGGAACCTTGTGGTATTCGGTGCACCAGGTCTCTGTATTCGTCCCTTCAAAAAGTGTGGATGGTCTTGCACGAGGCCTTCACCACTATAATCAAATCTCATGTGCCGGTGTCGGGCTGTCGATTTCTTGGAAACTGATCTGCTTGACCCTCATACATCGAATGTCGACGGGAGAGTCGATTATTATATATATATATTATCATTAAATTGTTAAGGCATGGGGGCGCATTTTGTAGGTTCCCCTTGAGAGGATGAGGTATTATGGTGGATGGAGGATTGATTGGCGACGGACGAGTTCTTATGGTGAATGAGGAAACTGTAATGTTTGAATGGGTCGTGAATCAGATTATAAGATAGTGACGACCAGCCTCACCCCCTCCCCATTTTAGCCTTGTGCCCTAATTGTATTTTATATACAATAAATATAGAAGTGGCTGTTACATATAATAAATAATGTTTATTACAGAAGCTGAGAGACATGGCTGATGCTGGCCTCCAGGAGAATGACTCGGGCTAACGTTCTCTGCTGACATGAAAGGGAAAGACTATATTGAATCCATTGCTAGGTCAGCTGCTAAGAAAGTTGGTTCACAGTGTCGTGATAGACAATTTTTCTCCCCAGAATCTATTTTACTTATCTATAAGTCTACCATCCATCCATGCTTAGAATATGGTTATCACATATGATTCGGTGCTCCTGCTATTTATCTAGAACTCCTTGATAAATTCCAAAGAAGAATCAGCAATATTATTGGTCCTGATCTGGCATTTCGGCTCCAATCACTTTCTCACCGCCGTAATGTTACCTTCCCTTGCCTTTTCTATAAATATTCATGGTAATTGTTCGGATGAGCTCTTCACCATGCTACCCTAGACTTCTTGAATTTAAGCGCAGTATTAGACTGGAGACGTGATCTCATCAATTCACAGTTGAGCTGGCTCGATGTAGCCAGAACTTCTATGCTGACACTTTCTTATTTCACACTTCTTGCCTGTGGAACTTCTTTCCGGCTCCATGCTTTACAAGCCAACTTTCATCAGCAAAAATTTAAATGCAATGTCAATCACTATCTACTGTCTATCTGGTTACTCTTCTTTTTTTCTCGCTCCTTAGAAATGTTTCTGTTTCTAAATCTTCCACATCAATTAAGCCCTTGTGTCTCAGTAGCTTTGCTGCCTTGCATGGGTGAACTCGATTAAAAATAAATAAAGCTGATTATATACGATTAGAGACATAATAAGTAACATTTATTATAGAGTGTCGAGTCATAATAATGTTATAGAGGCTTAGAGATAAAATAAATATTGTTTATTACAGGAACTTCGAGGCATAATAAATGATGTTTATTATAGAATGTTATATATGTTTTATTATAGTAATAATATCCATTATAGAGTACAGAGGCATAATAAATAATGCTTATTATAGAAGCTTAAAGATATAATAAATAAAATTTATTATTGAAGCTTCAAGACATAATAAATAATGCTTAGCAACATAATAAATAATGTGTATTATAGAAACTCAAAGACATAATAAATAGTTTTTTTTTATAGAAACTTAGAGACATAATTAATAAAGTTTATAATAGATTATA